CTGCAGGCCAGTTTAGGACAGACGAGTTGCTCTTAACTGCCACAAATAAAAGTTCAGTGATTCACATCCTGGTAAAACAAAGGAGACGGAGTTAAAACATGAACTAGTTAATTGGCCTCTTGTTCCTCATTGCTTCTGCTTTTGTAATAATTTGTCAAAACATGTTCCCTGCGAGAGCCTCGACGGACTACCTGGAGTTTTCTATTTTCGTCAGACAGACATGTCTCCAGCTCGGCGTGTCTATCACATATTTAAATTTTAAATTACTCCCCCTTGCACAGAAGCCGACGGGTCCCTTCAGAGTGGGACAAACCTCAGCAGGAGGGAGGAAAGCTAATGAGGTGTAACAAGCTTCATTTTGTGAAATAAGAGCGCCGCAGGGAACTTCGACTCTTCGGGATGTTGTCTGATGACGAGCGGAGAAAGTGGCGGGCACTGAGGAAGATGAGGCAGAGTATAACTGCTGATGATGAACTCCGGCAGATCAGAACCGTAACTTCTGTTCGGAAATCAGAGTCGTCTCGAAAATTATTATGCAGAAGATAACATAGTAAGTCAAGTACAGTCCTAGCAGCATATGCACGAGACAAGACATTTACACGCCACTTTTACCTGAAATTAACGCCAACTCTATACGGACTTACGAAATGCAAAGGCTACATTTTGTTGCGTGCACATACCAGGAAGAGAAATGTTTGATTACTCCAGACGTTGCAGAATAAGTCGACGTCAGGGTATTACAGGGAAGAGAGGGTCCTGATACCGATGTGGACCTGTGATGGTGTGTTGTGTGTTTCAGCTCAGCAGAGTGGTAGACCTTCGTCCTTTGCATGAAAATGTCAGACACTTGTGGCGAGGGACAGAGAGGTAATTCGGAAACTGCGGATATTCCAGCGGCTTTTAAACCGGACGTACAAAGGGATTATCTCTGTGCCAAGAAAGGAGAAAGAAGAGAAGATGACGGACAAACACAAAACAAAATGTAGACATTACCAGGCAAGGAATATGAGAAACTGCTTACCAACTTACCTTGGAATGGATGCAAACAAATCCAGCCGACCCAAAAGACTCAAAAGGGAGCCTCACTTTCCTCTAACAGTGCAACAGCTCCAGAGATGGTAGAGTCAAAGTATGAAATCCCATCATGGTCTAACACGAGTCTTACCAGGTGACCAGACCTCCTCACTCACTCTCCTCCAGGCGAGCTTCTTTTTATTCCAGTTTCGGTAATTAAAAGAAGTATCATATAATTCAGGGCACCCACACACCAACACGACAGGCGGTCCATTTTCATATTTCACCCGGGAATCTTCATGCCGTCTGGTTATCGCGACGTGAATATTGGCTTGAGCTGAGATCTGCATGTGTTTATCCGACACAGGAGATGTGAGCACCCACTCTGTTGTGTAGCCATTAATAGATGATTCTGATTCTGATATTTTTTCAACTCTCGCAAATTCGCCTCATTTGCGCCGTCAGGGTACTACGAATGTCTAATCGCATCTTTGCATTGACTTTACATGTAATTCGCACAAATGGTTTTACTCGCGCTTGGTGTGAACGCCCCTTTACACTCCTGGGAGCTCCCCTCAACAAGACAAAGCCAAAGTTGCACAGAGCCTCAAGCAAGCAGTGAGCGTCTCACTCACAAGGGGTGGGTGGACTCCATGAACTTCTCAGAACTTCAAAAAAGTTTTTTTTTCACTTGTCTTTCTTGAAAATACAACTATTAATAAGATCAAACAGTCCAACAGATTTAGTTCGTATCATAATTTACTTATTAGGTATGGAATCAAAATCTCAAATGACGACGTTGGAAACAAAACCGGCTTTAGTTCTTTATTATATGGACTGTAGGTCAACAAAGATTAGTGTATATATTGTATGTTAAGAACTGAGTACAGTGCTGTAATTAAACTATCTCTACATTATGATGACTGTGATTTTAATTAGAGAAAGAAGACCTAAACACAGCTGTGGTTGTAAGTGGTAAAAGGGAAATGAAACCACAGCCGAGACCAGGATCGCCCTTGATAATCCTTTAAATGCAGGCTAAGATAGAAAATATTGTTTCAATCAGAAAAACTGATTTGTGACCCGTCAGAGCATTTGGATGATTGGAATTAAGATTCACTGTCTGCTGATGATCCGCTATCATCGCCTTCGAGTGCTGCGAGTCATTTAAATGCAGTGAGTCAGCGGATGATCTGACTGTGATAATTACGGGTCAAAATGAGTCAATTACACCTCGATTGGTTCGAGCGTCCTTCTGACAAATTTCTCATTCTCAGGAAAAATGTTCAGTCAGATTCAGATACTCATAACCTCAGAAACAGCAATAAATCAGCATCAAACTGCAGAGACGCTCTAACAGACAGTCCTTCATTATGAACTGTGGTAAACTCTGTAACAGCGCAGGGAGCCTTCAGGCCTCATGACTCATCTTCTTCTGTGTCATTTCTGAGCTGCAGTTTTTAGAGGTGACTGCTTCAGGTGAAAGCGCGCTTCGTATGAAATAATCATCTGTCAAAGTTGATACTGCGGCCTGTCTGTGATTGTCCGAGGTGTGAATACAGACTGACAGGTACCGCTGCATTAGGCAATTGTGCAGACCCATGAGGTGATTTGAAAAGTAATTGCCACTTCGGCGGTACAGTAATACAAGAGAAATCTCTCAGTCTGAGTGTCGCGATGTGTTATTCAGTGATTGTCTCAAACAAATTCTCACCTTTTTGTCCTTTCTTCTCTCATTTTACCTCATTTTGATCAAGAAACTAATGGTACAGCTATCTGCATTTTTAACTCATTCAGTGCCAGGTTCACTTATGCATTTTCACCCAGTGCCACCATTGACCTTAATAGAAATTTCTGTATCTTTCAGGACCCACAGAATATCTTACGCTTGGACTAGAATTAAGTGCAATGTCTCAAAAGAAAGAGGTTATTCTCTTCCTTCTCTGGGTTTTATGTGTTAAGTTAAATTTCTGCGTTATTTTTCAGATCCATACCCATTTCTTGGATTCTATTGTAACTCAATTTGAGGGTTTTTTGAATGGGTTAAGAATTATGACCTGTCTACAAAGGACAGTGAAAGGGGAAATACACTGAATACTCCTGCGTGTCCACGTGGCTCAGAGGATAAGAACACTGACTGGGACTCCTGAGGTCATGGGTTTGAGTCTTATCTGGGACAATTATGACCTATTTTTCTGAGAGTAACCCAATAATTGGGTCAGAACGTTGGGCTTGATTGACCCTACGTGGTTTCTAATTACAGTAACCTGGTGACCTTGTGAACTTTGACCTTGATTGTATATAACATATATATTGGGGTAGCTTGCGGTAGCTACCCCAATATATATATTGGGTAGCTGGGGTAGCTCAGCAGTTAGTGCATCTGATTCCTAACCGAGGGTTTGGAGTTTGAATATGAGGAACACTAAATTGTAAAAAAAGAGGAGAAAAAATAAATCTGTAGCAGGATGATGTATTTCATCCTTGCTCCTGCACATGTTGCCTGTTTCCTTGGATTACCTGAAGGGGGCACTAGACCTTCCCTCCCCCTCTTGCTCTGGCCTTTCCGTCACTTCCGGGTCGCCTCGCCTCTCGCGACAGGTAAGTTAGCAGTGGCTGCTAACTACGCTAACTAGTCGATTATTGTGCTGTGCTGCCTCTGAATCGACCTGTTGTCAGATGATGTTTGCTGTTCTCATGCCGGTGTAGATCGTGGCAGATGTTGGGTCCGCGCTCCTCTCGCTCTCAGGTGATGTTTTCACGTGGTCTGATCGGTTTGTTTGCTTTACGGCGAGTCTATACTTTCACTCTCTGCTCCTTTAACGTTGATTAGAGTTTATTATGTTTGTAACAGGGACTGTGTGTCCGGGTGTCTCCCTGGGGAACTCCAGCGGTGATAAGATTACCGCAAGAATTACTGCAAGATTTAAGGTCCTTACACACCGGCGAATTTGCGGAGCGAAGCGAAAAAGCGAGACGAAAATTGCGAATATTCACCGGTCCGAAAAATCGCTTTCGCCCATACACACCGGCCGCGAAGCGAATATGCGTATATTTTTTGCAAAGCGAATTAATAAAGTCGTTTTGCGGCACGGAGGAGAGGAGATGCGAGGTGGAAGACAAGAGAGTGTCATCTTGAGAGGAAACTTCTGTGACGTCATCAACAACATGACTTTTGATTGGCCAGAGGTCTAGCAGGTCCAGATATTCGCCTGCGAATATCCGAAAAATTCGACACAGGAGCGAAAAAATAAAAGCGGCTTTTCGCCCCGCGGAAAAAATCGCCGCCGGTGTGGAAGCTTGCATTGACTTTATGCTGTTTTAAAAAAAGGCGAATAATTCGCCTGGCGAATTCTCGCCCGGTGTGTAAGGACCTTAAGAATTCGCTGCTCTGCCTCTGCTCTGCCTCTGCTGCTCGCCTGGCTGTGCGGCTGCTTTGCTGTCGTTCTCCTGTTGCTGTGCCTGCCTGCGGCTTCCTTTAGTTTTAAGGAGTGACCGTGTTACTGTGGGGGTCACTCTTGTTCTTCTTGGTTAACTCATTTCGTTTTTTATCTTTATTTGGTTTTCTAGTTTTCTTTTATTAATACTGGCTATACTTTTTTGGTCTGTTTTGAGTTCATGAGGAAACATTTTTTGGGTTGAATTTGTTTCCATGGATTCATTATATTTCGTTTTGTTTTCCTTTCTTATTTAGTTTATGAGTTTATTATCCTCCTTTCGTGAATTGGTGTGTTGATTAATTAAGGAATATTTTCCTTTTCTAATTTACTAATCGTTTTCTTTTGTTTGTTCTGATTTGGTTTCTCATGACTTGGGTTGTTCTTGGCAGCATAAATGGCTTTTCCTAAGCTAATTTGTGGCTGCCACCCATAATATTAGTTTAGTTTATTTTGTGCAGGTATTTTGGGGTTTTCTTTGTGTGTAACCCACTAACCCCCTTTTCTTCTGTCCCTTTCAGTTGCTGAGAGCTTGCGGTGGTGGTTTCCCTCGTATAATGTGCTGTTCATCCCCTGGGTTTTTGTTGTTTTCACCGAGTGAGTTCCTATGATTGCCGCGTGTGATTGGGGTGCCTTTTCTTCTCTGGGATCCCTCACACCTGTCCCTAGATCCATTTTTCATTTGGTAAGCCTCAGCACCTGAAAAAGGGCTCCCTCTCCCCTGTGTGTGTGTGTGTGTGTGTGTGTGTGTGTGTGTGTGTGTGTGTGTGTGTGTGTGTGTTTGTGCGCGCCATGGTTTTATTGATGATTTATTAAAAATGTTTAAATAAAGTCAGCATTTTGTAAGCTTGGAACCACGTCTCCTGCTCTCTATTCACGGTAAACGAACCTGAGTGCCTTAAAAACTAATTCCCGCGAAACTAATTCTTTGGGCGAAATTCCCAAAGTGGCGTTGTTGGTTTTCCTTAACAATTCAAATCAAAATCTGCCTTATTTCACCCTCGAGTTGCCACAAATCAATGAAGGGTTGGGGTAGGAACTGGTATAAAAGTAACCCTCTCCTGTGTTTTGTTATTGCCTGCTCAATGCAGCGTGGTCGTATCATCTTTGCCCATCTGGAAAAAGAAACATGGGAAAAACGCATTTTTACGTCGGAGACTTTTAAGCAGAACTCTGATCATCTATTTCATTTGACTTCAAACTACTTTACCGGTGGCATCGAGGTCCTCCCTCCCTGGACACCACTCCTCATCACTCTGGAGAGCTCTAGAAATCACCCGTGTCTGATATCTACATGTGGCTCCTGAGCCTTTTCTTCTGCACTTTGTCTATTTGATGCCACCTGGTTCCAGCTCCTGTTGAATTATCTGATAATTTAGAGGACGGTAAAAGCTGGTTTTACAGGCAAATCCTCGTGGGCGTTGGTGTCAGTCTTGCAGTAAAAATGGCAGCTGTGCTACAGCAATGTCTTTAGGTGCAATTGCCAATTAGTCTTGGTTAATTAACTGCAAGTGCTTCACACATCTGCCTTTCTTTTCCCCCTATGGACGGGCGATCCTCGTGGATCTGTGCGCCGAACATCAACCCTTTATAATCACTCACTGATTGGGCTGCACATCCTGCCGCTGAGTCGAACACCTGTAAATCTCTGAGCACGGGCAGAGATGAAGAAAAAGTATAACAGCAGTTGCTCAGGAAACATTTAGCCTCTATTCCCCCATGATTTTACTCTTTATATTTGAGCCAATTAGTTTTTGTCCAGACACTTCACTGCTGGAGCCAGATGGGTGCACCCGCTGAATTTGCACAACATAGATTTTTCCAGCTGTGTTAAATTGCCCAACAGATCTGAATCACTGTAAATCCCAATTAGTCCAGTCAAGGGACATGAAACTAGTCCTCTGTTACTTTCCAAAAATCTTAGGCTGTGTCTCATTTCAGAGACCGCATCGGGACAAGCGCGCTTAGCTGAGTGCACTGCCGTTTTGCGCCGTTATGTACCCTTCCTGTGTCTCAGCTCTCCATGGTACATGGTTGTCCACCCCTGCACTAGACTTTAAAATTCACCTCGTCCTGAATAAGGCTCGAACCCACCACCTCAGAAGTCCCAGTCAGTCTCCTTATCCCCTGAGCCACATGGACACACAAGACAATCATGTTTTTTTTTTGTTTTTTTTCATACATCACTGTACAAGGCCCACTGTTTACAGGGATGTATAGATGGCTAGCCTATAGAGTCCTCTATAGCTTGTTCCCTTACAAGCAGTAATTGAAAAACAAGCCCTCAGAATTTATGAATATCTTCGTAAATCTGATATTTGTCCTCATCTCTTAAGAGTGCAAACATCTTAGTGTAAGCGTATGTTGATTTAAGATAATAAGCACTATTTTGCTGTCTCTTTTTTGCTCCAGGATATTAAGGTTGGAGGCTGGTGTCTGCCCTCATGATTACTCATGGTTTGGAATCAAAAGTTTGATTATTACATGTTCAAATATTCACTTATTTACTGATGTTTTTACATGTAATCTCATTCTGATGAAGTTTTTGTAACTTCATCAGTGAAACGTGTCCTACGGTGGACCTGAAACTGTATTATCACCAAGTGTTGCAACAGTAAAGTTTACTTAACTAAGTTGACCTGAAAAAAAGGTCAAACTGACCGACCTGTTTGTGCCTTCAGGATACGTTTTTTTTAACCCATCTCGTATTGACATATACGGATGGACAAATATTCAGGAAACATGTTTTACTAAAGCAAACAAAAGATGATCTTGTTGATAAATTTTTCTAAGTTGCGTGAAGTAAATATTTGCTTCAACTTTATTTGAATCTTTTAAGAAAACATGAAGGAGGTCACATAGGTTTACTCAGTTTCGGCTACCGTCCGGTCACAATAACTTTTGACACTATAAAGACCACTGAAACAAACAATGAAATAAACTTATTTTTATTTCTCAAGACTTGATGTGATGATTAAAGAACAGAAAAACAAGATTTATCTGGACAACATTGAAAACAGTTTGATCATTTCATGCATTAAAATGGGAAAATTACAAGGTATAGATATGATTGTATCATCAGCATAAAAATGAAACTGTCATGATATGTTCTAGTAATTTAATTTTTTCAGTTTGTGTTTGTCCCTGTTTCCCTCCTGTTCTCAGAGTTTTATTCTTTAAATCAGTTTTCAGTGTTTATTTCCTGTTTTATTTTGTAGGAGTTGATTCGTTGTGTTTCTAGTCTGGTTTTACTTCCCTAGGTTTTCCTCCTTTGTTAGTCACCCATGAGTTTCACCTGTGTCTCACCTGTTGCTTGTTTCCCAGTCTGTGTATATAGTCCCTGTTTATTTATTAGTCTGTTGTGTGTGTGTGTGTGTGTGTGTGTGTGTGTGTGTGTGTGTGTGTGTGTGTGTGTGTGTGCGCGCGTTTGTATAGAATGACATAGTATGTCTATGTCAGTGTATGTCTGTGTCCTCAGTTGTCTCCTTGTGTCGTTTTTTCCCAGTGCCCTTTAGATTCTTTGGCCTTCTTGTGTTTTTTGGACTTTTGGATTTAGATTTGTTTGGACATTTTCTGAGTAAGTCTTTGTTGGCCTAAATCCTTAGTTCTGCTTTTAGCCCCCTTTTTTCTCTTTTGTTTAACCCTGCCATATGAAGAAACTTTGCATTTGTGACTTAAATAAAGGAATTTGTCAATATAGATGATAAAGTAAATAGGACCCAGGATGGAGCCTTGTGGGACACCGTTTTGCTTTCCCTTACTGCTTCCTAACGTTATCTTTAGCAGCTGAGGTTGACCAGAATGTGTCTGACTCAGATGTGGAGCTGTAAAGATCAGGGGGGAAAAAAAAGTGACACAAAACTGAAATAAATCGAATAAAAGCTGAGAGTGAAGAGGCGAGCTGTGATACTTTTTGGGGAGTATGGAAAGGTTTCACATAAAATATTCTGCTGCATTGTGTTCACCTACACTCAATAGATTGGACTGTGTCTGCCTACTCTTAAAATACTGATCCAGTAAGTGCTCTTCCATCCACTCAACACATGCATATACCTCCAGCTTCTCTAATAGATCATCTCTCGTCTTTGTCTCGGTTTCGCTCACTGAAGCCCTTTGTCAGAGTGCTATATTTTCCCTGTTGTTGATAGAACTCATGTCTTTCTCTTCCAGCACCACTAAGTAGAAAATTACCTAAAAGAAAACCTCCCCGCTCACTTAAGAAAGAACACAACCTGCTCGCCAAACCGCCGCACCTCACGACCGTCCAGTCGGAAACCTCGCTGTGCAGGTGGAATCTGATCTGCGCAGTAAATCAATCTCGCCTGCTCTTTCTCTCGGTCTTGTTTTTGGCTGAAAAGTGCAGTAAAGTGCCGTGTAATGAGCGGACTGGAGGAGAGCAATTGAATAAAATAGTGTGGCTGGAGGGAGGAAAACTCAGATTGCAGAGTAAAGGTGGTTGTGATTGTTAACTGAAGTTTGTCCTCTCGGCCCGCAGGATACCAGACAATATTTTCACTACATCCATATCTTACAGGAACTAAAAGTAGGAGGAATGTGTGTTTGTTTTATGTTGTTTTTAATGCAGCCAGAGTAACAAACCTCTCCAGAATTAGTCTGGGGAAAATGCTGAAGGGAGGCGGATACAAAATGTTAAAGTGGAAATATTTAATTATCATGAATCTCAGGAGGAGGAGGAGGGGAGTAAAAAGTTAACTACACTGTCAAAAATGTTAAGATAAAACATAAATATAGGTCAAGAGTCAGACAGTTTGTTTTCTCCATGCATTAATATTTAAGTAAGGCCATGCATTGTTGTTAAATATGCTGTTAATTTCATCCATCAGTTCCCTCCATGAATCAAACATGGGGTAAAGTGGGCTTAACTGTACCAGTCTGCACACTGCAGGACATCTAAGAGAACCGAACATAGACTGTATATACTACACTTTAAAAACCCAGGGTGTCCCATGTACTTTCATACCAGTTCTTAAAATGTAAAACTTTATTCAACCTACCCCACCCCTTCATTGATTCATTTGTTCTCCTCTTTTTTACAATTACAAGAACTTATCTGTTTGCTCTCTGTTCATGTAACCGCACTGGTTAAGGTTACCGGAGTAGTAGCATCCCAACAGAGCCTTGTTCTCATCTTGTGTCCATCGCCTTCTCCTTGTTGTTCCAGTAGCTCATTTCTCATCACAATGCCCTGGTTCCTCAGCATGTGACGCGGACTTTGTTAACTCGGCGACATCAATGGTAATGCACTGATGTTTATGAGGTAGGCCATAGAAAACATGAACCCCCTGATAACTTTTAAAAACAGAGCTGTTCAGAAAAAAAAGAGGACGAGCATCAAACCAGTCTGACAGTAACTACATGTCAACATTGGGGAGAAAAGTTTATATTCTGTGTCATTAATTTCTAAAGTTTGTCCACAGATCCATAGGAATTGCTGGAGGAGGGTGGATTTATGACCTATACTGCAGCTCACCACCAGAGGGTGCTGTTCTCAGAGTGGATTCACCCAGCGAGGATGCAGACGGCGTCCATTCTATATACACTCTACGGATCTGAATCACACGTGTGAAACCTTGACACCCATCGGTTGTGTGGTCGTGACTGTGTGAGCTTTACCTGCTAAAATATTTTGGGTGCTTTTGCATTTTACCGAAATGATTACAGTCGATCGAGATTTGTTTGTTCCAGAAGGCAACGTCCAAAAGAGGTGATAGTTAGATGCACTTGCATGCAGAAACTGTCATGTCGGTCGAGTTTCTCTTTTATTTTTCAGTACATTCATTCATGTTGGTTCATGTTTTGTTTCATGTCACTTTTCAAACCTGATCACTAACTCTTGTTTCTGCCTTCTAGCTTTGTTCCTGTCTTGTCACACCTGCCGCCTGATTGTGTCTCCCCACCTGTTCACCTCTTCTATTTGACCTTGTGTGTCTCACATGCACAGATGCTGCTTTTGAAAGCACCGTAAAAGGAAAACATCAATACTTATTTAGTTTCTTGAGGGAAGCAGAACACGCCTGCATATCTCCGCAATGCTCGATATTAACAACGCTGAGCAAGCAAGACTCAGAGATGGATAAGTCCATTTATTTGCGCCTCTGGCTGAAAGTATTAGCAAAGCCTTTGTATTTCAAAATTTGGAACTTTTAACTCCACAAGAGTGTATAAAGTAATTCTGTATTCCTCTCATTTCTCCTGCAGCCCTGCAACACATCAGCATCCTTATTTCCTCCCATACTTTCATAGTTGCCCAGAAATATTGAGTGTTAGAGATGAATCTGAGCAGGAAGAAGTTTGATAAATGTTCTGTAAAGACTGTGATGGATTAAAGGAAGGATGAACACCTGAATTCATCGGACATGTTTCACTTTTTAAACCACATTCTGGCTAAAGTGCCTCTCCATTTCTACTCAGATCTGAAAAACGAACAAGGAGACACAAAGAGAGGTTTGTGAAGTGATTTTCTGCTCATGTTTTTTTCTTTTTCCTTTGGTTTTAATGTTTCATTAAAGAAGCAAAATTAGGAAACAGACGAACCACATTCAGCTCTGTCTGCGCTGAATCATTTTTCAGAGGGTTCAGATGTAAATCGATGAATTAAACCCACTTTACGCCGTGATTTTGCAGCCCATTAGTAAGATTAGAAAGACGTTAATTTCACAAAATAACCTGGAAGTTACTTTAACTTGGCTGCTTCTGATATTTTTCACAAAGTGATCAAAGTTTCCTCCTTTCACTGTCCTGTGCACTCTGTGTTTTTTGACTCCTGCCCCTTTTCTGGCCACATAAATGTGAAGATCTGCTCGAGCTCAATTAAAAATGAGCTCCCTGAAAAAGACCCTCCACCAGGGAGGTTCAGGTCTCGGTTCACCGACACTGAAAGAGTCACAGAGGGGAGAGTGAAGCTGACATTGAGGAGGATCAGTGGTGAACTTTCCGAGTGTGTGGGACAGCCTGCAGTGATGGCACCGCTTCAAGTCCTTTCCTCTGGAAGGGCGTGTCAGGGCACTCGTTTTGGCTGCCAAACAGGACACTTTGTTCAGACGTGTCACCTCATTCATCACCTTATCGACCTTCCCTCCCCGAGTTCATCTGTGGCACACGGCAACCTCCACTCTTAGCAGTAAATGTTTCGACCTCTACCACTGTAATGTTATTTAACGTCATTTTTTTGGACACTTAAGCGGCTTGATGCAAATCTATACAGCTCAAGACCCTCAATGAAGTGTTTCCAGGTTATTTTTGAATCACAAAACTCGGTCTGGTATCTGCATGGCTCCACAAAGTCAAAGCCTCCTTTTCTTACTTCAGGCTTTTGCAAAGAATAATGCAGACTTGTGCAGCAATACTGCGCCTCCTCATGCACACAGATAATGTGAGACAGTCTCTTTCATGGCTTCAAAAGGCTGCTGTATTGTGTTTACACAAAAGTGGTTGAATCTTATGAGGGGCTTTTCTTCGTTTTTGGCCCACTGGGTATTTTATGTCTGTTATTGAATTATGAGAAAAAATCTGGGACAGCGTGTACACTGTACACATATTTTCTATAAGAGTGGATTTCTAGGGTCATGACTCAGGTGAGGGTTAGGGTTATCTAAAAATAATGTTGAAGTTCAGATGGGATGTTTTTTCTCACAGCTATCACTGCCGAATAACTTAGATTTCCTGACATATCTTCAAGCACCTGCAGTAATTTTAACCCCAGATTTCCACTGCATGTGTAAATGATCGTTTCCATTCAAGTTGAAATTCCACCGACTCCTCTCCGGCCCCTTGTGGTTCAGCAGGCTTCATAGCCAATCGGCAGGGTTCTATTTTCTCTGGACGCCACACCGTGTTGCATAAATTCAGCACAGATTAGCCCGTGCTGAAAAGGAAGTCGGGCACAGACTCAAAATAAAACATCTGGCTTCTTTTCAAAATAAAACACTACATGAATTTGCGGGTCTGTCTGAAATTTGCCACGAAAATTGTCTCATGAATGCATCAGGTAGGAATTGGTGGACGGCGAAAAATGCTGCCGTTCTGCATGTGGTGGAATTTTGGGGTAAGACTTTAATTTAAGGGATTTATTTACAATTATGTTGCATCAGATTTTCTTTAAACGACATCCTGTAAATGTCTGAGAACTGAAGAGACTGGTTTCCTCAGTCTCCGAGATGTTGTTTCTTGTCTTTGGACTATACTCAGATAAATATTGGGTTTTAATAATTTGCAGATGATTAAATTCTGTTTTATCAACATTTACAGTGTTTTGGAATTATTGCTGTAAATACATTTCAAGTTTCAGTCCTTTTCTTTCAAGTCGAAAACTTTTCAGGGTTGGTCTGTTTGCAGCAGTTCCAGTCAGCGATAAAAGCAACAGGCCTACGTGAAGAAAAGCAAGTCTTGCAGGGTCCAGGGTTCAGTGAAAGAGGTTGGATAGACAAAATAAACAAACAATAAGAGGTTTAAAAGGTCTTAAGGCACTGATCTTTTATCAACACTGCAACAAAATACTAAAAGGGTTTAAGAAATCGGATTTATTTAGACCTATTTATTGTAATTTCATGAACTAAAAACTGAAATTTTGAGCCCAGGTGAGGCTGCACTTCAGGAAGAACTCATTTAAAACTTAAACTTCAACTCCACACCCTTTACAGAAGGTTATTTGCTCAGCAGAGCCTTCACACTTTCACGGCTGATGTTCCTCAAAAAGACCCAACGGGGCCAGACTTTACCTTCAGACAGTAAAAGCTGATGTTATGATCCTCAGATAAGACTTACTGGAAGACACTGGCGCACTTTGATGTGGGGTCGTTTGAGTTTCAGGACTGCAGCAGCCTCGCATCATTAACAGCAGAGGATGTAATGTGCCGGTATGAGCGGGTCTAACTGGACTCAGTCTGAAAATAGTGGGAGAAAGTGTCATACATGCGCCTGTAACAGCGCAGAAGTTTCTCTCTGTAAAGACTTAATGGACATCTTTTATACTGCATTGGCATTACAGCAAAACAAACTCTGCAGAAGGGCTGTACAACCTGCAAGTATGAAGGAAAACAACAAAGTTAACTAATGTAGTAAAAGTGTAGAGACTTTAGTTCAACCTGCTGCTGTCTTAAAGAGTCGGCTGCAGAGACACACTCTTTAAACCTGGACAGGATTCAGTTTTGCTCACACAGCAGATGTTTGCTGTCAAGATCACTTAAATCTGACCTCCAAGGTTTCTCTGGTCTCAGCACATCAGTGCTGCCCGCAAGCTTTGAAAGAGGATGAGACCTTTTCTTTGGGAAAAGATGTTTTTTAGCAGCTTGATGAAAAGTAGTTTCACCAGGATCATTAAGCAAGTGTTCGACAGCTTTTAAAGTCCCACTATGACTGTTTTTTTAACTACTAAAAGTGTTCTCAGTGGTCTTTAAATTGTGACTATGAAGTTTTTCGCCAAAATCACATTACCTGTGTCATTTTCAAGGTCTGTTCTCCTGCAGAGCTCCAGTAGATCATTTGCGATTCACCTCTGAGTCGTGGCAGAGACAGTGCTGCTCTGCTCACTCCTCTTCACACTAGCTTGCAGTCTAACATTGTCGGTGTAGTAGACGAAAACAGGAAACATAGGAGTTATTCAGTTCTCAGACACTAATGTCTTTGTGGACATGATGAAAGTTAATATCATAATTAGCTTTCTTACGAGCATTACAATCTGCTAACACCCATGCTTGTTCCAAGATCGTTTGCTCTACTTCTCGGAGCCTGACCTGAATAGCGGGGCTCAGGGGGCGGAGCTTGGATTTGTGACATAGGAAATCTCACTGTATCTGAGCCTGCTGCTTGGTTCTGACAGAGAGTCACTCACTCATTTGAATGCAGAAATACTCAGAAATGCAAATTCGCACTTGTTTGTCATGATATGTCCTGTAGCAACAGAAAAAAGTCATGTGAACATGAAGACAACAAGAAAAACATGATTTTCATCAGAGTGGGTCTTTAAACCAAAAAAGCTTCAGAAGCAAAATGAAAATCATCTGTTTCATGATTGTGGTTTTATTACTACTACAGAAATCTCCTCTCTCCAGCTCTTCTCTGGGGGGTTTTGAGGTTTTCCCAAGCCAGATGGAAGGTCTCGGTCATCCCAGGATTTAATGTATTCTTAATGCAAACACAAAAAAAGTAACAGAAGACAGGAAAGAGAGGAATTAGAGTGAGTCTCTCACTGCTCCTGATGATTAAACTTCTCCGGTATCCCTGGACTTAAAATCAGACTCTATTTTTGCCATAAAAACCGTAAAAATGATGAGGAGCTGTTCAGATTTTCACTGGGTAAAGGATAGAAACCACAATCACACAAACACTGTAAATAGAAATCTCAGTTGTCATTCTGGGGAAATACTCTCGGCTTACCCAAGCTCTGCCTGACGGGGGAATTGGGGTTGACAGCATTATTAATGAAGGCTGAGGACGGCTAAAGAGGCTGACAGAAGTTTGGGATAATGGATGACTGAGGATGAAAATGATGAGACTTGGATTACAATCCTCCAGAAATGCCAAAGCTTATCACAGGGATACAGATATTTGAGATTCGACCTCCTGTCCAAAAGTTGAATTTGATCTTTTGAAATAAACCCCCAAACTTTTGCCAACACTGTTACATGATCTTTTAGATGCATGAGTCAGAAATGACCTGATGAGGCTGTTACGGAAGAGGATTAGGGCCACAGAGAAAAAAAACAAAAACAAAAAAAAAGGGTCAAATATAATTTTTTAAAATCATAAGTTTGAGAATGAAGTCAGAATTCTAAGTTTATTCTCATTAATCTGACTTTTTTTCTCTGGATTATGATAAAAACAATAATATTAGACCATGTTTTTTCCCCCCTGTGGCCCTGATCCTCTTCCGTAGGCTGTTTTCTTGCAATGTCAAAAAAAAAAAAAAATTTGCATAATCAGCTATTCCTTACCAAACTTGTTTTTGATAATGCATCACAAAAATTTTGATCTTACCTTTCATACACATAAGAAATTGTTGGTTTTTTTTGTTCGAGGAGCATTTGTACAGAGGTATAACATCACATAAGTCATATATGTTGCTGAAGGGAGCACCAGAACGATACTCAGAGGTTTTTTTTCTCAAAATAAGGAAAAATATTTGCATTTTTGATCAATCTAATTAAGTTAGTTCTGCATAACACACAGTCAGTTATCAACTTGACATTAAATCGACTTGCACGCGCAGCAACAAGAGAAAATAGTCCACCTTCATGGTTGAGTTTCAGGGTGGCCTTCAGACTGTACGGCTGTTATCTGTGTTTGTGTGACGGGTTATGTGTGTGAATAGCTTGAGCTCATATATCACATGTAAAGGAGGTTGATAAGTATTGTATGTGATGTTTGTTTATGTGTCTTTTACAGCCGATATCACTCTGTAACATCCGTGTCCAGACCTCTCATTAGACTCTGCCTACCTTCACTGTCTCTCACCTTCTTTCTCGCCACCGTCTGTCTCCTCCCTTCTTCAGAGTACACACCTGTCCATCCGTCTTCTTTGCCTTTATACCTTTTACACCTTTTCCTCTTCGTATTGTGTGAAGCTCCTGAGTTGTGCCCGTCAACTTTACAGGCTCATTAAGCCTCAGAAAGCCTCGGGGAATGATGTCATAAATGTTCAACCATCCACG